CAGAAAACATTCAAAGCGTTCCATGAATGCGTTCCATGATTCAGCCTCCGGCCGGAATGGCAAAGACACAGTAGCAGCAGGCATGGGAGGCACGCAGTAAGGATCCGGTTCTCCAGCCCTCGTTGCCAGTTTTAAGTTCTGAGGGACACAGACTGAGGAGACCGGTTAGCAACAACAGGAACTTTTATTAACAGAACTGGAACAGGCAAAAGACAGCAAACCCCTGTCTGATAGCTATTTATACTTGGAGCTGTCAGACAGGGAACCAATGAGAAATCCCAGTTTCTCCCGCCAGCTGGCAAGCACGTCCTGGCCAATCAGAGGCGACTTACACAGCACCATCTGCTGGCCAGGACACAACACCTCAGGAACTAATATAATCCAATTCCCAATAGGTTAGACATGAGCTGATGATTTAGTTCTGTTGATAGAGGAGGGAATGGGTTTAAAATATTTTGAGAGACATGATGGTAAACAAATCTGCAAGTTTTATACATGAGTCCAAAATGAAAACTATTTCTAAGGAACTATTTGTAATTCAGCATGTTCTGACTTGATTTCATGTTTCTAAGGCAGCAAGTTCAAATTGAAATTCTGAGATGCTAAATCTAAAGCCAACTAGGCCCCAAATAATAATTACCTGAAGCTGTGGGGGACCTGCACCGCTCCAGCTCCATTGGAAGTGGACCATCCGGTACCTCTGTGACCCCTATTATAACATTAAATTAGAATATATTAATAATTATTGCAATCAACATTATATAAGCAGACTTTTCCTCAAGAGACCTCTTTTTGTTCTTTTCCATTCCGTTCTGTAGTGAATAAATAAGATGGCTTGATGGACAGAGGGAAGGTCCAGGACCAGGGCAAAAATCAGATAGACAAAATTTGATCCCAAGGCAAGAAAGTGATTTGCAAAAACTTCTCCGTTTCTCACCACCCAATTCACATGAAGATAAAAGAGGAAAAGAAGGAAGCACATTTGGACTTGCAATATTGATGTTGGCCCTATAAGGGAGACCAAAGTAAAAAGCGGACACAATGCAGACCTAAAGCGACTTTTATTAGAACATCTATTACAGAATCTTACAAGTCTGAACATACATATTGACATTTTACTCTGGGCGATCTGCAACTCACAAGAACAGATTTAAGTAGTTATGGAATTGTTCAATTGTATTCTGACAACAAATGCTATTTTGCTATCTGGAATTCAATCACTGGATACAATTCAATGGAATGGGACTATAGAGTAAAATGTCATTTTTTGAAATAAATAATAGAAACCAGCATGCGGAACTCATAAAGGCTTCTTGTCTCTGAGACAGCAGAGGTTGGACTACTTAGTAATAGATTTTGTCACATACATACTCAGGAAGGAACCTTTTAAATGGAAAAAAAATGCAAGGACTTACTGTTCTATAGAAAAGGTGGAAACAATACTAATATTATTTAGCAGCCTGGTACCAAATTTAATAGATACCTGTACATGGCCAAGATTTCAAGAAACAAAGAACCAGAATATAATTTTACATCCAGGAATGACTTATGTTGAATCATTGAGCTTTGACTGAGGAAAGTGGGAATGGGAGCATCTCTTCCTCACTGAGGAGAAAAGACTGTAACCATTCACAGAATTCTGCAGATCTATCGTTAGGAAATCAATGGGCTTGGAGACTGTTTGCTATTGATAGTGAGAAACCTCTGCTTGATTACTTAGATTAGAACAAGCTAGGCAGTCTCCCAAGGTCTGGTCTTCCATACGGGGCCACTGAGAAGAACAATGGATAGGTTTGGAGGAAGATATCACCAATAGGTAGATACCACTTAGGTAGAGTTCTCTTTTTCTGCAAGCTCAGGATTTGCTGTGTCCATGACCTATGCTACTCTCCAAACCTTAAAAAACTGGATGTAAGCTGAACCTCAATTCAGACAAAATGTAACTATTATTGATTCCAGGGGCTGAAAAAGGAGATATGCCTCTTCTAGATGGAGTTTCTCAGGGCAATCCTATAACATTGGTAGGAAGAAGGGCTTTTCATCAGCTTCAGCTTTGTCATGTGCATCTTTATCTGGAGGAGAGAGATCTGTTTCAATAGCTCATGGATCAGTAACCTCAAGAATAAATTATTGCAATATGCTTTTCACGGGATGTCTCTTGCAGACGGTCCAGACATTGAAGCTAGACTAGGATGTGGCATCATGATGGCGAAGGATAAAGAATCTAAACTTTCACATTGTTCTCCAGCTGAAACACTTTCAATGGCTGCTAGATATCTTCCGTTCAAGATGGGGTTAAAATCTGACACTGCATGGACCCCATAAGAACACCGACTCCTCTGCACTGTTCCCTCTAAGGTGTGCGGCTGTGCGGCCGCGCACGTGGCAAGAAAACTCCGCGCAGCAGTTTCTATCTGCCGCACAGAGATTTCTGTAAAGCAAATGTGGGGAAGTCCTTTGCAGGCGGCTACAACTGGCCGCCTGCAAAGGACCTCCCCAGACTTGTTTTGAAGAGCACGGCTGTTCAAAGGGGGATTCCTTCCTGAGAGACCCCGTCAAGAAAATGCAGGGAGCGGCAGCGGAGACCTGGGGCTGCTTCTGCTGTGTCCGCTGGACTGTGGGGCTGGGAAGGGGGCGGGAAGAGCGACGGGGCCGGCGGTGGCAGGCTGGTTCACCTCCTCCTCCTCCAACAGCACTGCCGGATTTCCGCCCAACGCTGCGGGGGCGCCAGCGGGAGGTTTGGCGGCTTCACCTCAGCCGCAGCGCTGGGCAGCAAATGTGTTGGTGCTGTTGGAGGAGGAGGAGGAGGAGGAGGAGGAGGCAGCAATAGCACCTGAGGACAGGACAAGAAGCAATGGAAACTTGTCAGAAGGAGACTCAAGCTGGAAATAAGGAGAAATCTGACAGTAAG